AAAAAGAAAAATATTTACAGAATTAATGTTTATACATTTTTGGATGCACTTTGCATAACTTAATACATACACAAAAAAGGAATTATCTGATTATCTGTTAGATAATATTTCTTTGCTCGCATATAACTTAGATTTTATACTGATAAAAATTGCAAATCGCCTGTTATTGTGATCTTAAAGAAAAGAATAACAAATACATTTCAATGACCATTTTATATATAATATGATTCAAAACAATAGACATTTTGTTTATTCCAAAACAGTTTAATGATTAGTTTAGAAATATTTCTGCAATTTGTTTTTAACCTTTGTTTTCGTGTTAAAGAAATTAATATAATGTAGTTCAAAATGAATTTAAATTAAAATACTTATTTAAGTAAAATGTTTCATGATGCAGGCAAGTATAATATATAATTGTGTTCAAAAATACGTAATTATAAACAAAGTTATCTACATAGATAATATTTATTAGTATTGTATTTACACAGTAAATAAAATTAAAAGTATTATTTTAAGGTTTGAAATAACATACGTTATTTATTGTAAATACTTAAATTAAATCATGCTTATGGATGAGAAACACTGTGGATGACATGAAAAAATACTATTTGATGTAACACAAAAAATTCAAGAACAATTAAGAGACAATCTTTGACAGTGTCTTCTACTGAAACAAAAAATTAAAACATTAACTACATAATGTCAGAACTAATTGTAATCAATGTTATAAGGTAGAAGTTTATTAAGTATTAAAAATATCTTTTAGCAATTGTAACTAAATATAATTTATTTAGCCCTGAAGGAAATACTGCAAGTTTTAATATAACACCAGATATGACTATAAATAAAATTAAAAACATTGTAATAAAACATTTTTATGGTGATGATGAATCAAAAAAGCTAATCAAATTTCGTTTAATTCATACATTTAAATTTAAATGGCTTATAGATGATTACAGTGTAACTGATGAGGAAATTAATAAAAATGGTAAAATATTAATTCATTAAAATTTTAAATTTAATTTGCATGTTTAAAAGTGTGACATAATTCTTATTTTCTTATTACAGATGAATTAATGTTAATAAATATTCGTCCAACATCTATAAAGGAAAATTTATCTGAAGACACTTTGAAGGGTCCCAGTGAAGAAGTAATATTACAAGCAACAAATGATTTACATATAAGTAATGCACCTCAACGTATTCCATTTCTTCATTGTCCTGCAGATGTAAATACACACACACACACACACATATATATATTCTTTATACCCTTTTGGAAATAAAATTTATATTACGCATTTCATATTATAGTTTCAGAATGAAATACGGACAATTTTGATAACTCTTGTAAGAGCATCTGCAAAAATTATAATGTACAGTCCAGAAGCACTAAAATTTTACAAAATTTTAAAAGAAAAATTAGAACACAGGTACAAACCAAAT